AGAGAGAGAGAGAGAAAGGGGACGATCGCTAGTATCGTGCGATGTCGCGGCGCGTTTATTACGTAGAAACGGCGGGGCGCGACGTCGCGAACAGGGAGATAGTGTCATGTACAGGAACGCACTCGCCGGTACACGCAAGCGGTACCTGTGTGCAAGTAACCAGAGTGTACTGTCACGGAGGCGTACAATAGGCCAGTTTCGGGGACAATAGCGGAGGCCGACAATCAAATCAGCTCGCTATCAGCCACCCCAACCCACCGACGTTTATCCTTTGATCCGCTCAGTCGTTCGCTCGCTCACTCACTCGCGCGGGGCAGCAAACACTCCTGATTGCACACCCTCTGTATTTAAACAGCCTCGAACTGTGTCTCTCTCTCTCCTCCCGCCGCTACCTCTCCTCAACCCGTCCGATTCCACGGTTCCTTCTATGTTTAATGGGTCTAACAGAGGATGTGAGGGATTGAGAGAGAGAGAGAGAGAGAGAGAGAGAGGGGGGGTAAAGAAGGAAATAGGAAGAAACGAGGACAGAGCGAGAAATTTCTTCCTTTTCACGGTGTGCCCTTCGTGATATTTTAGTGGCCTTGTCGCGGCGCGTATCTACCTTAATATCTGAAATTCTGAACGCGCACCCACACCACCGAGACGTCCTCTCTCCCTTTCGCTTCTTTCCGTATATACACGAATTTCTCTCTCACGAATGTGACAGTGCACGGGATGCACGCGTGTGTTCACGCGCGCGCGCGTACGTCTTCGGCTGCGGACAATCTCAGCGCAGCATCGTCCGCCGATGTATCATCTTACTTGGTGCTAAAGGCGATGACTTTATCACCGATCCGGGCAATCATTCACCTAAGCTGACTCTTTTCTCCGTTAACACTGTTTCCTCACCCTCCCTCCCTCCCTCCCTCGTGTCTCCCCAACTCAATTCTACCCTCGCCGTTTCCACGGAAAGAACGGAGAAAGAGAGAGAGAAGCGTTGAGTATATATATGTAACGTATAGTAAACATGCCTCGCACGTTTGCTTCTTCTCGCTTAACGCGTAACAAGAACATCGAGAAAGAAATTTCGAATGGCAGAATTTATCGTCTGGCGTGGAACGACGAAAAGAGTCGTTCCCTCTACTCGCGGTATGTTGCTGTCGCGAAAAAAATTTTTCTACGATAATTTTTTTCTACTCTAATAACTAAAATCTTAAACATTCTTTGAAATTCACCGTCACTGTCTCACTGTAACAACATGTGGGAATTGATATCGAAACGTATGTAACACGCGAATGGTGCGAATGACGGAAGAAGTCATTCCGCCGGTCGTTTCTACGATGGCTACGATGGCAACGACACGGCCGATCGGCATCGGAAATCCACGCGAAATATATCCAGGCAATAAATGCTCGCACGTCCGAACCGAGGGACGTGAACGTGCACGCTTCACACGATCGGCGGCGATCGGAGTCGCGGCTCCTCGGCAGCGATCATGTCCAGCGTGAGGAGAGGTTTCACGCGGTGGTCCGTGCCGTGCCGTGCCGTTGAGGACGGGACCCACGAGCGATGAAGCGTTCTCGAGTAGGTGTTCCAGGATCGTAAACGTCCGGCAACGAGCGCGCGACTCGATAAAACCGACGGAAACGACGCGTGTAACCTGTAACGCACCTAACGCGTAACGCTGTGCGAGCACCGTAGAAGGTGCGGAAACCCTTTCGAAATGCGACGAGCATACGCGCGACAAGTAAATTCCAGTTGGCGGATATA